GCTTCTCTACATTTGCATCACAAAAAAGACAACAGACTAGTAAAGACGAATAATAATAATATTGCCGTCCGAATGCCAATGTGATTCGATAAAGTAATCAGAAATGGATGTGTACTATGTTGTCTCTATCTCGCTTGGTGTGTGTCTTTCGTTTGCATGCAAAGTGAACGAATGTTGCGCTCGCACACACATCCAGCAATCGGTGTGTGTGTGTGTGTGTGTGCGTTTTAGTGAAAAATTAACTTGTTCGACTGGTCGATTCACGTAACTTGATTTTTTTTATTGTTCATTTTTATTTCAATTTGTTGTTGTTGAAGTGTGGCTGTTTTTTTTTCTTCTTCTCCGCTCGTTCGTTCGTTCGTTTGTAGTGAGTGCACTCGAATATAATGAATTATGTGTGGCAGGGGCAACTCTCAGCCAAAGTAGAATATTACTTTTTTTCGTTCGCTTGTCTTGCTCGCTCGCTCACTTCGCTACGGCACTTTTCGGTGTGTTGCGCCAATGCAATCCAATCAGTGTGGCAATACACAGTCTGCTTTAGCAAAATCTGTGTGCTACAATGTGTGTGAAGTTTTTTGCTGCAAATTGGCTGAAAGCTTTCGTTTGGCTTGCGCCTTCTACTCTCGAAATAAGCGAGAGAGAATGAAAAAGCAACAACAACGGCGAGCAACAAAACTGCATACGTATCGGCTTGGTGCATGAACACGCCACTATTGGACACAATATTTCTTCTTTTATTTCTCTCTCTCTCTCTCTCTCTCTCTCTCTCTCTCTCTCTCTCTCTCTCGTTAAACCGATGTGTATTGTAGAAAGTTTTTTCTTTGTCCAATTCATTTGGTTCAGCTCATATAACTGGTTATTCAAAAATGTCAAACGGAATGAGAGAAGAGAAGAAAAAAAAATACCACCAACACCAATTTGAACACGAAAAATGAGCAGTAACCAACAACAACATCGCCGCCGCCGCCATCGTCCGTCGCCACGAGCCAGAGTTAGAGCGAGAGCGCTCAATCTAGCAACGACGTCGAATGACGGCAACGGTGACGGCGTCGTCGTCAGCATTCACTTGGAATCAGGGGGCCTTGTTCGCTATCTCCATCTTACTCTCCCATTCAATGTGGTCGCCGACTTATATTATGGGCTGATATACGGTTAGCATATCATATGCTGCATATGTGTGAATATGTGGCATGATTATTTTCGGAACTGGTGACTTGATTCGGGATCCAAAAAATCCCGACCGAAACATATTTACCCAGCAACGCACCGAAAATGTGCAAAAATGCCAACGATTGGCTGATCGAGCAAGAGCGAGAGAGAGAGAAAGAAAAAGAGAGAGAGAGAGCCCAATGCCGAAGCGATATAAAAGTAGAAAGAAGGAAGGAACCCAAAGCGAGATAGAAATAGAAAGAGGAAGAGAGAGAGAGAGCGAGAATGGGAAAGTGAGACGGCAAACAGATTCATAGGTGTTTAGCCAGTGGAAGAAATCGACATTCCTGCGTTGAAATCATATGTTGAAATTACACATATCGAGGATTGCGATCGCTCTCAAACACTTACGAATTTCATACATCAAACGGATTGTGAAAGGAATATGATGGAAAAAACCGAAAAAAAAACTACGCAATGCTTTATCAGTTATTATCGGTTTTGGCTTGAAAATGCTACCCCTTCTCTCATGCATGCTATGTTTCGGTCGAATAGTGTGCGCATTGCTCACACTTCTCTGGCTCGAAACCAATTCGGCCTTTGTTACACTCTCGATATATGCGCACCATAGAGTGCCAAGAATGTAAGCGCATTCAAGAATGCAGGCGTCATGGAACTCGCAATTCGCCTCACACACACACACTCACTCACCGCTTAGAATGAGAATGAGAATGCAACTAGATCTAATTGCGGATGACTTGACGGCACAACAATTCCATGCCCATGCCCATGCCCATGCCATTCACTATCAATCTCACAAAACAAAACATATCATTACACACTGGCTTCGCATCCACAATGCAAAATGCACGAATGTTGTTTCATTTTTTTTTTAATTTGACAACGAAAATGAACACAAAAAAAACTGTTTAAAAACTTGTCTTTTGTGATGCAGAAAATAGGGAACAAAATTATTTGTTTAATAAACCAGAGAGTTTGAACAAAAGAGTACAAACTCTTCAGTCAAACAAATATGTTTTGAATATAAAACAAAAAATCTCAATCTCTCAAAAAGTGGCAGCCATTATCAGTGCGTTTGAACGAATGGAAAAAGAAGAAGCAGCAGCAACGAACGAAAAATTGTGCCGCTAGCGGAATATATCGATAATTAAGTTTACCCCACATTCAGCCTTATTGTACAACAACAACAGAAGCAGCAGCAGCAGCACCAACAACAAAAATGGCTCTCTAATTGATGGATTTGTCTTTTGTGTATATATCTTGGGCACATTCACCGAAGGCGCGCTCGCGCATACTCGCCACGGCCTCACAAATGCATCACGCCAAGTAATTCAGTTACTCATTGGAAGTCATAAAAATTAGCCACTAAACCGATAAAAAATAATGTATATATATATAAATAATATCCATTTGTGGGCTTTTTTCTTCTCGCCTTATTTTTATACGTACATATTTTGTTGTTGCTGTTTGTTTGTTCGTGTCTTAAATGTTATTGTTGTTATTTGCTTCTCCAATTTATCGCTTTGAATTCGTACAATTCGTTGCATGTTTGTGTCGATCAATCTCTCACATTCTCTCTCGGAGTGTGTGTGTGTGTGTGTGTGTGCGAGCGAGCTAGTGTGTGTGAGTGAATGAAAAACCAACACTGGAACTATGAATCTTAAATGAGCATGAGAAAAGTACACCAACAACAGCCACAAATGCAAAGAGAACGTCGTTCTCGTCGACGACAACGAACAATTTAAAATCGGTAGGTAAACGACAATCATATGTTGTGCCTGAAGCAACACACAACCGCGTATGTGTATATAAATGTTGACGTTTTTTTTCTTCTCTTCTGTGATTCTGTGTGTATTTCGTATTCACTGTCCTTCAATCACCAATGCATACACTCACTCGTTGGCTCGTTCAAAAGCACACATATATCAGAAATTCATCGAGCGGCGGTGAGCACAAACTAACGCAATTCACTCGTTATAAAATCGGGCCGTATAGCTGACGACTATGTTGTCTGTGTAGCTGCGCTCCGTATTTCCGTTTCATTTGCTCACATTCAGCCAAGTCAGCGTGTAAACTGATTTTGTTTCTCAATCTTTCTCGTTGCTTCGAATTAAAAATGTTGTTGGTGGTTTTTTTCTCTCGTTCGTTTCGAGACTATGTATGCGCTCACGGATTAAGTTGGCAGAAGTAGTATAAATGATAAACGCTTTATTTCGCTATTTTATTGGTGCAGCTCATAATTTTTCGTTACTTTTTTTTTTCTTCTGCGGTCGTTTCATCTTCTTTATTTTGGACAATAAACTGAGCAGCTCAGATTGTTTAAAGACTCTTGATCTTGATTCCGCCAGAAAAAAAAATTTCTTGGTTTTTTTTTCGCGCTGCTCCAAAGATAATCACTCAAAAATATACGATGGAATTATAAAATGTGGAAAGAAACAAGTTTTCAATGTAGATTCGTTGTCAATGTAATTAATCAGAAACGTCAACGAAGCGAGCGGCAGGCCAACATTGGCGCAAACACCGTTCGGTTTAGCAACCAAACACATATGTTATGCAGTCACTTCGATTCTCATGCCATTTTTTATTTTTGTTTTCACGCCATTCGAAATGCGAGACATTTTCGAGGACTTGATTTTTATACGCGGAAAAACCAATTGCAATCGCATTAAGATTCGAACGATCCAGAATGGGTTTGCAATGGAAAACTTTCCATGGACATTTCAAGAGTAATTGTTTCGTTCACATTTTTTATTTTTGTTAATATCCATATTTTTGAGATCCGTGAGATGAAAAACTGTTATCCAAACAGTCTCGATTTATTGGCAAAATTGGACAAAAATGAGAGCCACGAAATTTTTTTTAAGACAGCTGTAGAAAAAGTGTTCACAAATCAAGTGCAAATGCTGAAGAAATGTGCAAGAAATTGAATTATTGGCAATGAGAAGTTCTGATTTTGACAACTTTTCTGTAACGCACAAAAAAAAGGAGAACATTTGATGATTGAAGCAAATCAAAAGAAATGTTCGGCAAAATGTGAAAAAGTCAAGGCTGAACAAAAGCGAATTGCGATGATTCTTGTTGTGACACACTTTCTACCATTTACACAATAAATAAAAATGAAAAAAAAATCGTCATGTTTGGAATTCCATGTCGAAAAATGGCAAGGAACACCAACAGCTATCAATTTAATTGGTGTGTTCGCCGGGGATGCTTGTCGGTCTTGTCATTTGTCAGCTATCACATTTTCGGCCAACACTGGCCCGACTGAAACATGAAACAAGCACAACATTGTCTCGGCATTACTAACACCACGACCATGTTGTTGTTGAGTGGTTGCGTTGACCGAGATTCACCGCCATGGAATGGGGTTAGTTTGGCCGACAGCCGAGCATTGTTTGTATGTGTTTTTCTCAGACGTTATATGAAACGAATTATGCAAGAGTCCATATAATATAAAAAGCAATAGAATTTAATTGGAGTCTGAATTTGGGCCACGCACAAAATACACACGCTGAATTATGCGATCACATAAATCAATTAGGATTGTGTGTTGGGCATTAACCCAGAAAAGCCCAAACAGTTAAACCTAAAGCCGTGAAATCGATTTTTGGCATTGCCAAATATTTGCATTTCAACCAAACATTCTTTTTTCACTCTATAACCTCTAAAAACAGAATTTCACAAGAGGAAGTAATTGTTTCTTACGATGACATTTATATGCTTGTGCATAATTCAGATGAAGAACTATGTTGTGTGATAAGAAATCGACTCAGTACCGAAAAATAAAACCAAAAGAGAAATAAAATAATTGTGAGTGTGTGTGTACTTACTTGATTTTTCTGGTATTCCTCGATTGCACGATACGCTGAGTCAGTCAATTTCACAAAAATTAATTCCTTATTTTCGTTGCTCAGGCAACTCTGTGACAGTCCGTACGAAATGCCCGTACAGAGAGCGGCCATTTTGCCGAAACTAACAAACGATTAAATTTTATTACAAAAAAGAATTTGCTGATGCTATTTTAACACTCGAAGAAGAAAAATAAAACGCGAAAAGATGAAACGCACACAGCAGCAGCCGGAGAGGTGCGCGCGTATGGTGTAACTGCACCGCCGTGGGTTGTTCGGCGTTTCACTTCTTCCGGTGTTGATATTATTCTTTTTTGTGTACTCAATTTACAAAATTTATGCTGCCGTATTTTTTCTTGTAACCAAATCAATTTTTCTTCTTCTTCTTCTTCTTCTTATTCTTCAAATTGTTTTGCTCTCTTCCAATTAGAACTGAATTAAGTGAATTGTGTGAAAACTTCTCTTTGTTTTCTTTTGTATATCAAAAAACAACTTTCTTCTTCTGCTTCTTCTCGTTGAAATGCGATTTATAAAAAAAAAGAACAAAAATTTCGTCGTCAACACACATACACACTGTGATCGGCGAGATATAGCGTCAATGGTTTTGTCGCGGTAATTTTTCTCCTCCCGAAAAAGGAGCCGGGGATTTAAAAAAAACGTCGTTTTCCTTCTTCGACCCACCGTTTTTCGATTTTATTTTACTTTTTTCTTAACTTTTTTTTCCTTCTTATGATTTTTTTTTTCTTTTTATTTCTTTAAACTTTTCTTTTCGTTAAAAAAAAAAACTGATTCTTCTTTATATCTTTTGTAACCTTTATTTTCTCTTTTCACGCACTCTCACAGAAAAAAAAAAAAATATTCACCAGAATTCGTAGGTTGGCGACGGTGGCAAGAGTTTGCACGGTTGGCTGAGGGTAGATAGAGTGGAGGGATGATCTATCTACCGTAAGTATCTACCCGTTTTCGTGTGGCGCGATTCGACCCTACCCGTTTGTTTTTGTGTTTGCGTTTTTCTTGTTTGTTTGTTCGCTGTCGAAAATGGTTTGCTTTTCCGGAACGGGAGGAATTCACCTGGCGGCGCACCGTCTCTTCCTCTCTCTCTCTCTCACACACACTGCTTGCCCAACCAATGTTATTTACGAATTGTTGTTGTTGTTCTTTCTTGATGATTCTTTTTTTCGCTCGTTCGAAGGTGAGATGTGATGAGGTGTTGTTCTCTTTTTGTATTTATTGAAAAACTTCAAATGCTTCTCGTTTTGTCTCTCTTGTAATTATTCTGCAATTTTTCTTGTAAATGTTCAAACTCTCAACCAAAATAAGAATGATTTGTGCATGTGTTTTGTTGTTGTTGGGTAGTTGAAGGTAGTTTTCAAATTGGTTTGGTTGTTGTTGTTGTTTTTGCTGCTCGTTTTCTTTTCTTTATTATATTGGTATTGTTATTACTTTTTGTTTTTCGTTTAAAATATGTGTTTTGTTTTGTTTTTTTTTGTCAGTTTTCAGTCAAACTACATGGGGAAGAAAGAGAAGAGAAGAAAATTTTTGCTGTTGTAGTTAATAGATTAAAAATGCTTTTTGTTTCAATATTTTTTACACAGTTGTTGCAATGGAAAATAAACAAAAGTCGACAATTTTGACAACATCTACGTCCGACAGACGTACAAAATTTCAAACTGAAAAGAGACACACAACCACACCACGAATCCAACACACAACGAGAAAGAATCGAGATTTATTTGTTTTTGTCACTTCGTTTTTTTTTTCTTTCTTGTTTTGCTCTCAATATCAACCGTATTGTTCCTTTGGCTAATCTAATTTAATTTTCACTTATAAAATGTACACATACGCTTCTTTTTTTCTGTTCATTCGTCTTTCTTTTTTTCTATATATTAATTAGGTAACAGTAACTGTAATTAATATAACGCTCTTTGTTGCTAGAGATAAGCGAAATGAGCGCGGGCGCGCTTTAGCGCACGTTTGTTCGCGATCGTACTCGTACACTTACACACACGGTGTGTGTGTGTGTGTGAGATAGTTAGACAGAGAAAACCAAAAATCGAGAGAAAGAGAGGAAGACAGCGCGAAAAAAAGCCACGCGTAAGCCACTTCAGCCACTTCTATTATCTGCTTGTCATTATTACACTGTTGATTTTGTGTAGAACTGAAACGAACCGAAAAAAAAATACAACGAATTCGATCACATATGACGTCACACAGTCACTAACTAGGCACATTTATTTCGAAGAATTTGTCGCTTGTGTGTTTCTCTCAATCGTTTCTTCTCTGGTTAAACACCTTGTTTCGACTCTGGTGTTCAAGCAACAACAATATTGGCAAATGGAATTTTTGGAAATGAACGTCACACACGCGCACTCGCGCACACACAAAACAGTCTATTTGAGATACCGAAACGTCACATTCGATCGTAATTGATCGCAAACTGATGGATTGGCACAGAATTAGCGAATCGAAGAAAAAAGTTTGTGAAGAATTTTGTTGTTACTTCTGGTTTCGGATTTGGTGGCGGTGGCGGCGGCGGCGGCAGTGCACTGGTAGTGGCAACAACGTTGTGACAGGGACAACAGAAATGCAACACATTCAATCGCACACCCGATCACCATTCACTGCGTATCGCTCTCAATCTCTCTCACACACTTTTAATTCATAGAGCAGAAAATTGTATCATCGAAGGATTTCAATCCGCATTGCCATTTTTCACACTTAAATAATCATAACCACATTTGTACATTTTGCATGGTGTGCTTGCGTGTGAAATCGAGATAGAATGAGAGAGATAGAGATAGAGCGAGAGAGTGAAAGGAAGAGCGAGAGCAAGTTAGCGCGAGAACGAGCACAAGAAAGACAGTTGCGATGCTTTAAATACTTATTCGAATCGAAGAAGAATTGTCTATGTAGCACACGGGCAATCACCAAAAATAAAAGAAATGGCGCGGCGAGGCGCGCACACAGAGCAAGAGAAAAGAACATATGAAAATAACGCCAATCAGAAAAAATATTCGAAGAAAAAAAAAACATCGAATAAATGAGAAGAAGAAAAGACAGACAAGATGTAGGCAGAGTGTGGCCAACACACAGAGCCATCGATAATGTCGAAACACACACACACACACCGAGTGTGCATGTGAGAGAGTGAGAGAGCGAGTGAAATGCGAGAGTGAGACACAGTGTGTGTGAATGTGTGCCTGATAAAATACACGTAGTGCGAGTTGTTTTGGTCGGATCGGATCGGATCGCGGGTCACAATGCATGTATATGCTATTCACACTCAATATGATGACATAGATTTGAAAATAAGACAAGTTTTTTTTTTCGCTCTCTTCTGAGAGCGCGACACAGAGATCGCCCGTTGATCCAATGTCGAACGACAGACACGCTGTTGGCTCGAAGCGCGCGAGCGCTTGTACAATTTTCTTGGCCGTATGTATATGCACGATACACGCGTGAGAAGTTTTTCATCCGAACCGTTGTAGAAAATATGAAGTTTATGTTTTCATAGAATTTGTGACCGAGTTGAACGGAGCCAAAATCGATTTTTCAAACTTTCGACCTCTTCATGCCAGATGTTGTACATAATATTATTCTGTGTTTTTGTTTCTACATGTGTCTCCATTCAGTTGTTCGTTTTCTCTCTAAAATTGTCCATTTTTCCACTTCTCTTGAATCTGACTCATTTCTCTTGATTCGAAGAGTTCTCTCTTTCTCTTCTGTCCCATTCATTCTATCTATCGCGCTCCCTTTTTTAGCCCAGCATTTCACATTTGGTGTTTTGTGTACACAAAACACTTGAGTTCTAGTCATCGCTTTTCGCTTGTGATTACTGTTTTGTCAGTTGATTGCATAAGAAATTAAAGTTATTATCGGAATTGAGCGAAACGCTCGATTAAGAGTGAAAGAGTGTGGGCTGTGAAGCCCAATCATGATGATGTGCCTCATGATGACATTACACAATTTGTGTTTTGTGTGTTTACCAAGCGGTTCTTTTCCAATAAATTTTCCACATCGCAGAATCTCGTCGATCTCATCGGCACTCATCAACACTCTTCCTCTCCCTCTGGGATCTCTCGACACGCAACATCTTCGTACTTTGATGAGGATACGGCCAACAATGAATCCACCACTGTCGCCGTCGCCGTCGCCGTCGCCGCCACTGTAGCCCGTGTGCTGTATGCAATACTTGGTGTAATTGTGTGTTTCGATTTGCTCGCGATGCATGGAGGAAAAATTAAATCGCATTATATTGTTATTAGTATTACTATAAGTTGTGTTATTAACTTTTTGCATAACTTGTTTATTTCGTTGTTCTTGGAGCGGTTTTGCGTCTGACTGTTTGTGTGTGCGCATTTTTTTCTCTTCTTATTTTCAACGCTCATTTTTTGTTCGCCACATATTTATTTTCTGTTTTTCCTCCGTTGTCATTCAGTGTTCATTTAGATACACAAAAATAACAAAATAATGATATATATATATGTGCTTTTCAAGCAAAATTCATGTAAAGTTATAATTATTTATGTGCTTAAATGACAAAACAATGTGCAAAAACGTAAAAATATATACAAACACACACAAACACAATTCGACGATGGAATGTCGAGTGAGTGGTCAGTTTTCGCATATTTGTTCGCTGAACGAACGACACAAGAGAATGAAGAGAAAAAAAATATCGTCGCAAACATTTACTCGTCGCATCCAAACCACAAACACTCATTGAGGCCAAATGAATATGTGAAGAGGAACACATCCAAAAAATATTTACAAAATACCAGCCAGCAAAATTCAGCACACACAGCGACGACCACGACTACCGTTGTGATTATCGAGACCGAATGAAATGAATTAAGTGAATCGTTTTTTTTTGGAAATTGTGCCGGTTGAGCGATGGAAAATGCTAGGGAAATCATTTGAATGCGACATGTGAATATACACCAAGATGAGTTTCGGATTTAGATTCAAATTCATTTTTGGATTTCAAATCAGAGAATCGTCGATTTAGCAGCCCACGTGACGTGTTTGACGAGCAGAATATAGGCTGAGTTTTTGTGGCTTGAAAATTTTGGATTTCTGTTAATTTTTGCTCAACTTTTGATGTTTCGTTTGGCTGCCTTTGACTTGGTTTTTCTCCACTTTCCATATTGAAATAATAACTACCAATATTATGGTAGCCTCTGCCATTCCATTTCAATTTTCGACTGTGATTTCCACGAATTGCTCAAATCCAACGGAAAACATCAACCGATTTTATTAATTTCGATGCGTGTGTGTCACAACGAATCTCGAAAAAGATGAGACTGTGCGTTCGCAGCACATATCGCGCCTGATTATTATTATTACTGCATATATCTGTTTGATTTGTTACTTATGAAATACGCAGGATTCAACCGAGTATAACGTCTGTGTATCTTTCTTCTTCTTCTTCTGTTGTTTTTTTTTCAGCGCTCTCTCACGTATCATTTTCACCGTGCGATTGAATCAAAAGTCAAACATCAACACGAACGAAACATCCACAACAGCACTCGCTTGCAAAAGATTCTTTTGCGATGTGTGTAACACATTGAGAATTACAATGCAACCGAATATGCGTGCGTTTTTCGCTCTCGCGCGTACGCTCACTCGCTCGCCTCGTTCATCGTTTTGCATTGGATGTATTTTTTTTTTTGATTTATTCTTCATTTCTCATTTATAACACGATGATTTTGTTTTTCTTCTTCAGTTTGCACTTCGTTGTACAATTTTCGTTTTACTTGTTGGCTGTTATCGTTACACTGCACGGCCTGAACGGGAACAAGAGAGAGGGAGAGACAACGTTATGTTTGTACGTGTTTAAATCACAAAATTATCATAAACTAATAGAAAAACGTAACACACATCAAATTATTGTAGTTGTTTCATTATTTTCATAAGTTGTTGGCCACTTCTTATCAGTCTGTAGCTGGATTTAAATAAAGCGGTTACTTTTCATACTCTCTCTCTCTCTCTCTCTCGCTCTTTCTCTCACCCTGTCTCCGTCTCTATCGTTGATGGAATTCATGCGTTCATGTGCTTGTTTTTCGCTTTGAATCGGATTTCTTTTGCTTTGAATCACACGCACACACTGTTGTTTCTCTCTTTCGCATTCGTTCGTTGTCATCATCATCACACAGAGGGAAAAACCGAGTTCACACAAACACAATCACATGCCAATGTGATGACACACAGCTGAGAGCGCACAGCGGATTGCATACGGCTTACGTTGCAAACGCGGTCAGTGGAGAGGATGGCAAATATTGTTGAAAAAAGAAGAAGAAGTTGAAAACATGCTGCGAATTATAGTCATACGGTGGTTCGTGCTTTCGATTCGTACAAAAATGATAATCAAAATGCAATGTCGAGAGCCAATGCAAGAAGAATTTGTAGAAAATCAACAAAAAACGTACGTCACATCCCGATATCAGAAAGCTGAACTATTGTTTGAACTTAAATCAAATTACGATCGCACGAATGGCGATGACTCAACGGTGTACGCGAACGCATGCTCGCACACACAGCTTGTTCAATTCGCATTTCAACGGCTATAAACACACACAAACGACGAGGAAAAATGGAAAAATTCAATGAAAAAGGATGACGGAATCTAATAGCATAGAGAGAAAAAACAGTGTCCGCAATGAAAATGAACTTCGCGGAAAATGTCCAACCCTTAACAATGACAAATGACACCGAAGACACAAAGAATCGGTGTATTTCGTCATTTGGTGTAACTTGGCACCTCATTCAAAAAATATCACGCTTCGCTCGATATCAAAACATCAATCAACTGCATGCACCGTGTGCCGCTCCGACCCCGGTGCCCATGTTGATCATTTGAATGAGCCGGAATAAAATCAAATTCCACGAATAAGAAAATAAATCACATCACAAAAATTGTTGAATATAGATGCAGGAAGCGTATTTCTCAATGAAAAATCGGGTCAACGGTATATTTAAATGAGATGTGTCCGTTTTTTTTTTTTTTTTTGAAAAACTGACGACCAGCAGAAGCAACAACAGTCATGTGTGTGAAAAAGTTACAATCGAAAAGATTAATCATTCGGTGGCAACTCAGAAATCTGTCATTCGAATCAGAGTTGGCAGAGAGTAAGAAAAACCGTCGGTTTGTGTTATCATGAGGCGGCTTGGAACACATTTAGTCATTTCTGATTAATGTAGAATTTGAAATGATTTCGAAGAAAAAAAAACCCACTTCATTCGTTCGTTCGGTTGATTTTCTAAACTAATTTCACTGATTTGAGTTTGAACTTCTTGACGTTTTCTTCCTTTTTTTCAATATTCATTAGACGGTAGCATTCTGGGCAGTTTTTGGCTTTAATCGAACTAAAAAAAAAACTGTCGACTCGAAAATGTTCACTTGAAAATGTTCGGTTTTAACTGAAATTGAGGCAGCCCGCCTGAATTTTTCCGCAAAAAAAAAAACAATATTTCAAAATGTTGGACACAAAATGATGCAAAATGGCATTTAAAATTGGTGGCAAAAGGTTGGGAGTGTGCGGTGTTTGTGATGGAATTCCATTTTTCGATCACGCAGTGTGACATTCAATCGTCGAATTTCGAACAAATTACAAATTCATCGTCTGTTTTAAGCGCTTTTGGCCATTAGTTTGGTGCGTTTAATCGGTTTTTGTTGTTGTTTAAAGCGAAAGTCGCAATTTTTAGTTGTCTTATACATTTCGATTTCGAAATGAATCGAAATCGATGTGCATCATCATCATTTTTTTTTTCTTCTTTGATGAAATTATAAGCAAATATGAGATTTGATGTGGTGGAGCAGCAAGCAGGCAGCAGGCAGCATATTTTGATAAAATTTGTGAGCCGTGATCTGCTTTTGCGTAAACATTTTTACCCACCCTCTCTTGGGCACTCTCGCCAAATGGCTGACCGCTGTTTGAGAGTTGAGCATACAATTTGTTTCGTATTCGTGAACAGAAAAGAAAACAATAAAGTTGAAAAAAAAAATTGAAATGAGAAACGAAATACCGAAGTAAACAGTCGAACAGTTTCGTAATCGCCGACTCACATTTTATTTTATCTGTTAAACATTTCACACTACACTTCAGACGAACGAAATGAAATGAATTGAATGAAGCAAATGTAAAAAAAAAATAAACAACAACAACAACAACAGCAGCAGCAGCAGCAGCAGCAGCACAAATCACCAACAACAATGCATAAATTGCTTCGCCAATAAAAATACGTAAATAAATTGCGGAGCGAGCAAGAGTGCTCGCATTGAGTAAATGGTTGTATGTGTGTGTTTTTTGCTCTCAGTTGTTCGTCTTGATCATTTGAATGCAGTAAATAAATATTTCTAAAGTGACTTTTCTCTCCATTTTTGTCGATTTGATGTTTTTTATGTTCGATGTGTGTGCGTGTCTATGTGTTTGTGTATGGTGCAGTTGCTGCGTTTTCTCCCTCTTTCTATGTGGCTCTCTGTCTCGTTCCTTATTGCTTGCTTTTCTCACCTAAGATTGATCGCTTGGCATGTTATAAATGTGCACACGAGACAGAGGCTCGCGTATAGGTGAGTGATTTTGTTTTTGGTGTTTTGTTTTTTTTTTCGTGAATAAGTCTGGGTTTATGTGTTGATGGCCATCATACAGCTCTCTATGCTTGCTTCGCATGCAAGGTATTAATGAAATGGCGAAAAAGAGCCGACCGATCGACCGAACGACTCGGTGCAATTGAGGAATAACAACGAAAACAACACACACACACACACTAACACGTCCATGTGAAAGAAAAAGAAGACGAATCAACGGGCAAAATGATTAGGCGATCGGGAGCGCCACGAAAACATCAAAATATAAATATATTTATATGCGCTTTGCCTTTAACATTTGCTATCGCTATGCGAGACTCATTACCAATTTACTCTGCCTTATTCGCCTTTCAAAATGCTCGATCCCGCTCATGCTTTCGGTTTCTCTCTTTTCTCTCTTTCCGTTCCTCTTGATTTTTGTGTCCCTTTCTCTTTCTGCCTCTCTATATTCCTCTCTTTCGCTGTGCCTTGCCAGAGGTTAATTCAACCGCACCGAAATTGACCAAAACAAGATAATGCCATCGATAAATTGTCCATGTGTGCCCGATGACCAAATGTGAAATATGTCGGCTTAATCGAATCGTTTAGTTTTCAAGCCGATCGAAGCAAAACACTATTGACATGTCGCTCTCATTTCAAATCCCGAGCCACGATTGGACAGTGCCGTTAGCTATATCGCACACAATAAGCGCCGACAAATCGTACACACGCAAAAAAGTGATTGTTTAGCACCAACCACACGAAAATCACACACGAGCGCGCGCGAAACAGAGATAGGAGAATTGCGGCCCGTATCCTTTTTTATGCACACATTATCGATACGAAGTAGAAGAAAAACGCCACTTGAAATGTTGACAAATGATTAAAGTGGATGTTTGTGATACGTAAAATGATTTGACTGTTCCTAAATCAACCTGGCCAAATCAATGTCGTGCGTTGCTGCTCTCGGTCGTCCCAAAATGTTCTCAGTCGGCGCTTAATATTCGTTACTTCACTCACACTCTTTAGTTGGTGTGTGAGTGTGTTTTAACCATGTGCCTCGTCGCCACTTTGGCATCGGGATGTGATTAAGTATTTTGCAATATGTGATTGCTGTCTTGTTATTCACTTGGAAATTCGTATCAAAGTTCTTCTAGTTGGAGATTTTTTGGGTTTTTTCCTCGTCTTGGTCGTTGACGATGACGACGCCGACAACGAAAGAAAGGAACAAACGAGAAGCAAAGTGATGGCGTCGAGACACATGAAGAAAATATGGAAAAATTGATAATGATTTTATGCGCATTGTTACTTGAGACACCGATTTTCATGGATAATACTCGCATTTTCTGGCTTTTTTTCTCTCTCTCTCTCTTGTTCTTCTGACATGTCGAAAGCCAGACACAATAAAAGAGGTGAGTGTGAGTGTGTCGTACTGTTTCTTTTTTCTTTCGTAATTTAAAATTAAAGCAACATTTCAGTAATGACGAACCATTTTCACAGACAAATTGAATAAATAACTAATAACCATCATACACTCACACAGCGAATAGACGAATTGAGCACAAAAATGAGAAGGAAAAGAAGAAGACGACAAAGACGAAGAAAAAGTGGTCGAAATGAGCGAGACGCATGAAACAAACTAGTTGATTTTTCGTTCATAAGTTAATGATTTTTTCGTGTTGTTGTTGTTGTTGTTGTTCGAAAGAAATCAGTTTGGTGTGTGTCTTCTGTTTCTCCTAAATGCCAATCGAATGGAATTTATGTATATTTTTAACAATCCGTTTCATTTTCTGGTTTAATTCACTTTTTGTTGTTGTCATTGTTGTTGCTGTTTGTTTGTTCGTGGCTCTGAATTTCGATTCTGTTGTCATTTTTATTGGACGTTTCTTCTTCTGCGCTAGCTGCGATGGTATCGCTTTTGGTCATCGAATGATTTTTTCTTCTTTCGTCGTTCATCATATGCATGGAGATTCGCACTGCCATGGCAATAAGCGGACACAAGTATTTTTTTTCTCTCGCTTTTTCTTCTTCTTCTGGCTCAAGACATAAAACAAGAAAAAAAGATGACGCGTTCGCCATCTGAAGCGATGAACACGTTTCAATTTTTAATGTCAACGTTGTTGTTGCGGTCGCGCCGCCACATTTCAGCCTAATTAGCCATTGCACAAAACACATCATCGGAATTAATTGAACGATCGTTCGGAAAATGTGCGATTGCGCGCGTGCAAAATTCACACTCGAAACTGAGTCTTACTTATCGCCGTTTTAGCGAAGGGATCAAGGAAATTAAGAATCTCCGATGTCAACGTGAACTTTTGAAAAACAAGTGACAAAAGTATGTGAAATAAGAGCCGTAATGCAAATCAGAAGGTGATTCATTGCATTTTGATTACAATCAACGCGCAACATTTGTATGCATCTTCCGTGGTATCATGACAGAGCACGGTGCTATGGCCGCTGTGAAGCAAAACCAATGTGTTCGGTTGGACTTGATCATTTGATACGCGTTCGAAAAGAGAACACAAGAACAAAATTATTCAGTTTTGTTATTCATCACGAGTTCGTTTGTGGTTTTGCAACAAAGAAATTTATCTTTCGCAACACTTTATCGAATGGAAAACCCATTCAGTTTTCTTTGTGTACAAGTCGGTAAATCGCTGATAAGAAGAAAGAAGTGATTCACACAGTCCAAAGGCAATTGTTTTGGAGAACGGTGTTATCAGTGAAGTAAATTTTTGTACGATATGAAGAGGCCTCCAATGTGTGAGGCAAAACTTTCGAATTTGCCTGACGGAATAGACAACTTTTCGGTTTCTTTCGGAAACTGTGTCCAGAACATGCGTCTTTATCTCGGCATTTTGTCGTACATAATCGGGGCCAATCTTTGAAGACCAAACCGAGAACGAAATGACCGCACTAGAATCGAATTCGTTGAAAACACACAAGTTTTTTGTGGAGCGCTCACGCGCTTTTTTGCTTCTCTTCTATTTTTTCGACTATTTTACTTCGATTTTAATTTATTCCGACTTATTTCACTCGTGTTGCTGCTTCTTGATTCTTGTTGCCTCTGCGTTTTTGTTTCAATTTCGGGTTTTTCTCGATGCGAATGAGAGCGACATTTGAAGCTACACGCATACAATCGCCGGAATCACCATTTTTATTCGATTACTTCTCGAATGAATTCGATATATTTTTCGATTGCTTGTTTGCTCGTGCTCACTCGCCGACTTCTTTCGCATTTTTATGCTGTTATTGGCCGTTTGCTGTCATCGCCTTCGCGACGACAGCGTTTTTTTTTTTTTTTTGTTTAATTTTGTACTTTTTTCGTCCATTTTGGCGATTTTGTTACTTGATTTTGTTGGCCGTCAATTTTGTATAGCGAGGAAAGAGCGTTCTACGGCTGTATTTGTTTGCTTCATTCGTTGTTTTTTTACATCATTTCAACTTGATTGAATTTCAATTGGAGACAGTGGCAAATCATTTGATTGTGATTGACCTGTCAGCAGTAATGTGTTTGAAGGCAATTGTCGGTCACTGAATGAAATCGTTAGCCACTAAATGAATGTGTTTGTTACATATGAGGCTCGAAAGAAAACAAAGTGTCCAATTTTGCCGAAAATATACCGAGAAAACTGTGCACCATTCTTTCGAAAGCACATTTTTCATCATAATTTTTGACTTTTATTACGATTTAAACGAAATTTCTCAAACACACACGCACACACAGCTCACTCACTCACTCACACCATAACAAAAATAGTGTTCCGTGCATAAAATCGTAGTCGAAAAAAAGGTATGATTTTTTTTTTGTCCGTTTCACATGAAATCGCTTTTGCCTCGAACTCAATACGTATTCCATTCCATTCGACCGTCGCCGCTGCTGCTGCTGTTCGATTCTCCATTCCAAATTAAGAAGAAGAAAAAAAAATGTTTAATCGTTTAAACTTTTGCGTAAAATAAACATAGTCTCGGGGACTGAGCTGTGTGGCTGTGGTGAGCGAGTGAGCGCGCGCGCACGCTCGCGCACCCGCTCAGCTCTCAAGCTCTCTTTATCATTTATTCGAGTGTTAGTGGTTTTGTGATGTGTGGATTTTTCTGTGCGTTTTGATTTGATTTCATATGTGGAGTCGTCGTCGTCGTCGTCTCTGGTTGCTGTATTTTTCCTTCATTTGCGATTGTTATTGTTGTTGTTATACATATATATGTTGTTTCATTGTTGTTTGTACGTTTTTACTGTTGCGTTTGCGTTTTGTTTCACCTTATTTGGCTACTTTGGGTCGTCATTGGAAATTGTTTTTTTTTTTTCATTTTTGTTCGTTCGCATCGAAACCGAAACGGCCGAGCGAGAAAAAAACAGCACTTTTTACATGATTTTTTCGGACTTGCAACATAAAAGCAGCGACGGCAGGCACACGCACAACACCGAGTATGTGATTATATGATTGAGAGTGTGTGCTGATCGATTAGGTGACAGACGATAGACGAATTGGGTGATGATTTAAATCTGTTTTTTGCTTTGCTTTTGAGTTTGTGTGAGTGAATGAGTGGTTTTTTTTCTTCTTCTTCTGTCGTTCGTTCATAAAAATACATTTCGGTTGATTTGATTCCTTGATGCTCTCTAAATTCGGTGCTTTTTTCTTCCCTCTCTCACTCGTTCGATGCGGCTTAAAATTGTGTGTGCGTGACATTTGTCGCGGTTTTTTCTTTCTATCACCATCGTCGTTGTCATCGTCGCCTTCAATGTATGTTCCATTAATTTCGCCTAAAAATTGCGTTTACTTTAACGAATATTCATCTAATGACGGACGCTGAATTTTTGCTGATACTTTATTTTGCAAGGCACCGAAAACCGAATCAAAAAAAAAATCATTTAACAACAACAACTATAACCTGCATAATAGCACGACTGATCTGTTTATGTATGTAATGGTTGCGCGCGTGTGTCTCATTCTTGCACACACAATATGTGTATGTGCGTGTATTTCACGTGCGTGTGACTGTGTGTGTGTGTTTGTTTGTGTGTACGAGAGTAGCGAGCGAGTGGAGCGCGATTGTGTGCGATTGTACGTTGTTGGCAATTGTGTGGTACGTCGAGTTTGATTCGCGAATTGCAGCTTAACTTTTACTTTTCTTCAAGCCATTTATACTGTTTACCCCAAATCAAGCACTTTTTGGTTACTTTGATCGTTTCCCAGTTAAATTTTTTTTTTCCTTTGGGTTTAATTTTTCTGTATGCATAAGCTTTTGCCCCGCACCGAACGAATGGAAAAAAAATTGAACCGAAAATATTTTCGCTGATTTTCAACTAATCATCATCATCATGATGGATGAATTTTTATTTTCTTGCTTCATCATTTCATTTTACTTTTTTGCTTTGTATTGTAACTTGTTTACGCAAATTCTCACTTGTTTCGTGGATTCAAGATTCGATGATTTACCCTCTCTTTATCTGTCTCTCATGCCCATTTTGCCTCGTGTATTTGATTTTCTCTTTTTATTTATTCTTCTTTTTCTTTTACTTCATCTTTTTTTTGCAACAATTTTTTTTTTCTCTTTCCAAATTTTTGCTTCCATTTAACCAATATTGTTTTTTTTTGTGCTTCTCTTAAAACCACAACTTTTCGTTATCTGTTTCAAACTATTTCGACGGAATTTGTGGACATTTTTTACTCTCTCTCTCTCTCTCTCTCTCTCTTTTTTTTTCTTTCTCCTCCTCCTTTGCGGTATATGTACATATATTTCGTCAGGATGTCGTATAATGCGTAGCAAAACTTTGTACTATTTTTCTTTTCTTAACTTAAAAAAAAAACTTTTTTGTATCAATTGATAAACTTTAGTGGTTTTTTTTTTCATCTCTCGTTCTTTCTCTGCGTGTGTCGTACTTGTGTAAGTGTATGAAAACAGCGTGTTCTCTTTCCGATATTTATTGCCGTCGTCGTCGTGGTGGTTTTTTATGGATTTTTTTTCTCCCATGTTTGTTTACTATATACTTGACTATAAAATAATAAATTCGATTTATTTGAGTTTAAAAATAATAATTTCAGTTTCTGTGTTCAATTTCAGTTATTTTTTCTGCGTTTCGATTATTCGTCTTCATATCGCGGATCATTTTTCTCGAACAAATCTGTTTTTTTTTTCTCTCTTGTTTCAGTATTGCCATCACATTCTAGCACACGTTCGTAATGTTTCTCTTCGGATGGTTTTCATTTTAAGTGTTTCGGGTATTTTTTTGCTGTTGTTGCTTCTTTCTATTCGATTTAGCACCTTCACATTTTGATATTGAGTCTCGCGGAATACAAAAAAAAAACATATATGTGTGCATCACATCGTGTGCATATATTCGCGTAGAATTGAACACAGAAAATGATTGAACAAAGAATTGCAATTTCGACGGAAATTATTATTTCGTATTCACAAAATCGATCTTATTATTTGTTATCAACTGATTGGGTTGTGTGGGACAATGGGGAGGGGGTGTGGTGTGAATCTGTTTTTATTTTTGTTTTGGTATTAATTAAATTTTTACGGTTTTTATTTACTTTTCAATTAGTTTTGTAATGGATATATCACTTGCGAACGGTATTTTAGATGGATTTTAATAAGCGACGTGTTGCCGCGACGGAGCCCGTCGCTAGACTGCAATCGTTCGGTTTTTTTCGTTTCAATCGGTACAAAAATGACACACAAAAACAACAACACACCGCAAACGCACGCACACATACATGCCTACGAGCAGCAACAAGAGAACTTCTTGCCTGCTTTGAACCGCTCGACCGAACGACAGCTTCGAGTGAATGGAAAAATTATACGTTTAGTCGAGAGACGGCCGAACCGACGACGGTTTCGGTGTAAGTATGCGAGAGACTTGCCATACTTTAGACACCGCGGAATTTTTGCACTCACCCGTGTGCGTGTGTGGTGACGTTATAAAATTTGAACCAATGAATATGAATCGAAACCGCGACTTTAGAAGGAAAAGTAACAAAATCAAGCGAATGATGACAGTTTCTTGGATCACGAATTGAAATCTTGAAATTTTTTGACTTTTCTCACCAGATTAGATCATCCCAAATTCTCAACATCCGACTTTGAGATTTGAAATGCAACCAAACAACAAATTAACGGGCGATTCAAAGTCAAAAGTCTAGGTAAAAGTCATCACAGTAAAGATTTCCCATAGTCGACACATAGTTCGAGCCGCTCTCTTTTCCGCATCCACCGCAAATTGGCCCATGTTCATGTTCCAACACAAAAATAGTTCCCTTTTGTTTCAACAATTCGTACACACAAATCGGCTGTTGCGCACTCGATACACCGAAATATATATGTACGATCACTTGCATACACATACATACGCATACATCATCAGCATTCAGGCACACACGAATCATATGCTCGTGAGTGATTAGCCGTACAGCGCTACGCTGCATTTGTAATGGTGAACCGGATGAACGATTGGCAAAGTGAAAGAGAATCATGTAAGTCCGGACCGTCGGCTGGTTGTTGTTGTTGCCAGTTTTCTTGCCTTCTGACAGTTTGAACAATGGCAGAAGGAAGAGAAATAGAAACGTATGGCACAACGAACAATGGATATTGAACCGGTTCAACGATTCGATGGATGCGGTTTAAAACCGCGATTTGGCACAACAGGCACATACATACATACTCACGCGCAAACACATTCAACAGTCACATCTGATGGATTCTTTCACTTGTAACACTGAAACAAAATACACTGATTGCGATGTTGTTGTTTTTCTCTGTCTTTCTTTTGTCATTTCGTTGACACTTTGAATGGGCTGCCCGAAAAATGGGTTTTTCACATTTTCACCATGTGCGTGTTGCCACTTTGAATTCATTTATTTCCTACCTTGTTTTCACTTACTCTATCTATGATTATCGATAGCATTATCACATTTTGGATTCTGTGCTCGTTTTTTTTTTCTTCGTTCTTGTTCAATTGATATGATTGATTTTTTAGTTTATCGAATGAAGAGGTTGACTCAATCGAATTTGAACAAAATTAAACTGTAACATTCAATGAGTTGATAATTTCAGCGACAAAATTATTACCGTTGTCAGATCTGCGGCTTGTTTCCTTTTATTGCAAACAGTGAACAGAAAACACACCGACAAATCGAATTTATTAGCTAATCAATCGAGAAATAACAGCGGAAATTTCGACCGAAACAGTGGTTGAGTTTATTTAAGATAATTCAAATTATTACTCACGGTCAAATCCAATCTCTCTCCTTTTGTCACACTCTATCTCTGTTTACAGCACTCTGTTCAATTGTCCCCAGTGTGTTTTCGAAAGAAAGATCACTTCGAGTAGCCAGTACATATGATAAGGATGAACAACGAAATGAATAATAATTCCGATTATGGGTGATTGTGTTTGCGATTTCTTCTTCTTATTCATCTCTCTCTTCTCCTCCTGTTCGCAATTTTATTGAAATCATTTCAATTACCGAGATAAAATTGATTAGGCATAGGCAATTTTAGATTTAGGTGCAATCGTATATATATTTTTCTGTTCATGTTTTTTTTTTGTATAAATTGATTTTTGTTTAGTCATTTTTAGGTGAATCCCACCACGTGTAGTAAAATTAGAATTGAACTATATCAAAGTTCATCGTATAGAAAATTAGTGCTTAGTTCTCCAATCTGTTGTTTTTTTTTTCCTTCGTTTTTTCCCTTGTTTTCATTACAACATCTATCTAACAGCTTAAAATATCTATTTCTCTTCCATTTTTCCCATTTTTCCTTTCCATTAGTCCACACAATTTTCTGTGTATGGTTAAAAGGAGAGACAAAAAAACCATCTAACTAACAAAATTATTCAATTGAATTAAGAAAGAATAAATGCAGAGCTATGTTTTGCCTCGTTTAAATCGTTGGCGTGCTTGAGCCTTTGTGTATCGCGTTCGATTTGTATAGGTTTCCGATGCTTCACCGCTATCACCGTTTGGCGACGATTGGTCTGTCGACTTCTTGAATTCATCTAGCAGGTCGACTGGCGGCTCCAACAGGCCAATTTTCTGCTGCTTTCGATAGTACTGATAACCGCGCGCAATTCCATGCCCTATTGCCGATATTACAACTATCATTAGAACCATTAAGGACGGATGCTGGAAATGGAGGGAAATGCAAAATGGATTAGAATCAGTTTTTGAAGTCAATACGGTAGAACTATGAGAATTAATATAAAATAAAACTATTGGAACACACAATCGAAGGGATAGGTTAATAATAACAATATATTTGTCATCGCAAGTCAGAGAAGACTCACATTATTTCCATGTCGACTCACACAAGCTCATAGAATTTTAAACTCGAGCCAACACAAGTCGGCTGTGATTAACTTGCAGGTCAAAATGTACTCAATTTTAATTTGGTTCAGTGATTCATCCTCACACATATTTGAAAGACTCATACGGCTCGTGGCCCATTTTTTCTTAACGAAGCAACAGTTTCGTTTAAAAGAAGATTGGAAAAGAGATGTTCTTGAAAGTATTTCCATTAGAAAAATAAACTTTTTCGTTTGAAAAAGTTTTTTGTTCACAAACAGAAGGAAGAAGTTTTGAAAAGGTAGGAAAAAAAGTGCCAAAAAATCATTTTTTCTGCTGAGAAAGCAAATTTGAATGAAAAGAAATATTGAAAAAAAAAAAACGAAGTATTAAAAGACTCTCAGTGTTGCTATGTGCTGTTATAGGTTGCTCTGTGCTGATTTCGCAAAGTCGAATCATTTCAGTAGTGTTCAGAAAGCGAAAGTCCATTCCCATGTGCACCGTAATTAGGATGTGTTCAAAGATCGAAGGTTCTTACCGATAACGTTGGTGTTTTTGTGAAAAAGTCCGATATTACAATGATGACACCAAAAAAGAAGCCGATGCCAGTTCCGATCCATGGCACACGCTTTTCAACTGGAATATGTGAAGAAGAGAAACAATCGAATCTTTGATTCCGAATTTAAGGTGATGAAAGATAAAAAGATGTGAATGATTTTCTATCGAGAATTTTTCAAAAAATTTCCATAAAGAGTTTGATCCATAAGAAGTCCGAAAGATCTCATTCAAAATCTCCCTCAGATCGATCAGAAGTTAAAATGCATCCACCGAAAGAGAGATGGTTCTTACATTGCGAGTCGGCGCTACTAAGTTGAGCAATACGTTTGGCCGCATTCAAAATGCTGATATCATTCGGTTGAAGTTGCAGGGCCCGACCGAGCAACAGTAGTGATGTGTCATATTGGCCAGCTGCCGCTTGAGCCTCAGCCTTTCGAAAGTATCCCTGTTAAGAGCAAAAACACACATGAAAACCAATTTAATTCTACTTTCTCTTTGAATTGAACAAAAATCACTTTTAAACAAAATCTATCGCAAGAAATAAACCAGCAAATAATTGAGTCTACCTTCGCCCAATCGGGTTTCAATTGAATTGCCTTTTCGGCATCATCGTTGGCATAATAGAGATGATTGAGCTTAAGAAAAGCCAACGATCGATTGCTGTAGTAGGTTGCCTCGTTTGGGTTCAATTTGATAGCGAATGAATAATGTAGAATGGCTTCTGTATAGTTGCCGGATTTGACAGATTCATTTCCGCGTTCTTTGTGATCGTTGGCCGTTTCTGGTGTGGTTCCATTTTCTGTAGCTGTTGCATTCTCACTCTTAATTTCATCGGCTGCATCATTTGTCTAGAAAAAATAACAACAAAAACCATTTGATCACATGAAATTAATTTGATCACAAAAAATGTATTCAATTTGCCGATGTAAAAAACAAAACTGAATATTGATCAATACCATTGTGATGCAATCGAAACAATTGCGTGGCACAAAATTGCAAAAGAAGCAATTCTACCGGATAAAAATCGCCACGACAACAACCGAAGACAACAAACTGTCCAAACAAAACACTTGATGAGACCGTTCACGTTGAAATGCTCCGTTGCTTTGGTTACTTTTTGTATTAAAAATTCATTGAACAAAAAAAAATAGCTGCCGTGTCCGAAATTGAAGAAAAAAACCGAAAAAAAACAAACACTAACTACAACAACAATCAATTCGATGTGATATGAAGCAACAGAATTTGATTTCGGTTTTTGGAGAAAAGGGACAGCAAAAAAGAATCGTTCAAATTTTAATTAGTTCGTGTTGCTACGAACTGACAACTACTTTTCCGTTTTGATTGCCTAAAAAAAAGTGTTGTGTGTGTTATTATCGTGTGCGATTTTCAGTCTGACAATGAACGGATCTAGCATGCGGAAAAGAGACGGATGCATTTTGACATTTGGTGTATGCGTTTTTTTTTTCTTTTCGTTCTTCCTTCATTCGGTAAGTGTGTGTTTGTTTTGCTCGTCTTTGACACAGTTTACGATTTCATACCGCAAAATAAACCCAAACAGACATAGATATACCGACACATGCACACACCGACACATACACACATGTGCAATGTTTACCCGAGCTACTGTCAACATTTTCGGCACGAAACGCGATAAGAAAGAATAACACAAGACGAAACGGTTTAGTTTTTTTGACGCAATACATCGCACGGTCGGTTGCGGTTCAACGTCTCTCGCTCACTCACCTGCTACTGCGTTTGCCATTCGAAATTCTATGTTATCGATCAAGTACAAATAAAATTGTGTAAAACCAAAAAAAAAATTATAAAACATAATTTAATGTCGATTTTTATTTGGGTTTTTTTTTCTGTTCATCTTTTCTCTGACAAATGCGCATTTTTCAAAAAAAAATGTTTAGAGCAATAAAGAAATGTAAGTATGTGTATACAAAATCCACTTCGATTAATTAAGTTGTTAAGTTTTTTTTTGGGAGGCGAGAGAGAGAGAGGGTGTGTATTTGCTTAGTTGTAGGTCATATATCTTGGAGTGGCGCTGAATTTGGCGTAACTCTTGATAACTTTGTTGACGGCCTCGAGGAAATCCTTTTCGGTGGCTACCTTGCGCCGAGCTCGAATTGCAAACATACCAGCCTCTGTGCAAACGGATCTGAAAAAGAAGGGAAAATGAGAAATTAATTGTATTTGAAGTCACTGTCGGCAATTTTCAAAATAGGAACAATGCCCACTTTAGTTTCTGTAGCTTGACTCTTATCAATCAAGACATTAAATCATTTAATTAATGTTTCTTGTAAATAATTGAACGTTCCAATAGCTATGGGCTCAATCTATTCTTGAACGAACAATTTCATCGCCAGTCAACAAAAAAACTTACCGAATTTCAGCTCCGGTCGAATTTGGACACAATCGAGCCAAGAGTTCGAAACGAATGTCGCGTTCAACAGACATTGAACGGGCATGAATTTTGAATATATGCGTTCGTCCATCCAAATCGGGTAAACCGAATTCAACCTTACGATCCAAACGACCTGGACGCATCAAAGCTGGATCAAGTGTATCTGGTCGATTTGTAGCCATCAACACTTTGATGTTACCACGTGGATCGAAACCGTCCAATTGATTGATCAACTCCAACATGGTACGCTGTACTTCATTATCACCGCCGGCACCGTCATCGAAACGTGCACCACCGATCGCATCGATTTCATCGAAGAAAATCAAGCAGGCCTTCTTTGAACGAGCCATTTCGAATAGTTCACGCACCATACGTGCACCTTCACCCACATACTTTTGCACCAATTCCGAACCGATGACTCGAATGAAACAAGCATCCGTACGATTGGCCACTGCACGAGCACACAACGTTTTACCCGTTCCAGGTGGACCGAACAGCAACACACCCTTCGGTGGCTCAATACCCAAGTTCACGAATTTCTCCGGCTGTAAAATTGGAATTGGAATGTTAGTCAGTGTATAGGGGAGTTTTTTTTTTATAACATTGACAAAGCTACTTGAATAAGAGAATTAAAATAACTTGAAGTCAATAGCAGACTATGACTTTGGACATATCTTTGATTAAATGAAGCATGTGATTTTCAATTCCACTGAATAAGTTTATGAAACATTGTTTCAAAATGAAACAGAAAACAATTGGTGAAAACTCAATGCCATTCAAGATAGAAAAAAAACTTGCTTCAACTTGAGAGTTTTGGAATTTTTTTGATCAGTTTGAGATGGTTCTAACTGAAGCTTTCCTTCTTTGAATGAAAAAAATTCGCTCCATTTCTATCAAGCGTTTAAAAAATCGAACATTCTGTATGAAAAATCGAATGTCCGGTAGAAAACAGGTTAAGTTGCATTTTAAATGGATTGCTAAATATTCCGTTTGTGATTGGACGGTGGAAAAACGGTTGTAAATTTCGAAATACTTACATGAAGCAATGGCGTTTCGACGACTTCACGTAATTTTTCGATTTGCTCTTTGCATCCACCAACATCGCTGTACGTAACATCTGGCTTATCCTCCACCTGCATCATTGTTACGGTTGGATCGATTTTCGGTGGCAACGGAATATGAATTTGATACTTATTACGATCGACACCAACGCGCATCCCTTCTTCGATATCGGTTGGTGCCACCGAATCGGCCAAATCAACCACAAACTTTGCGAATTGCTTGACATTAATTATGTATTTTGGGTCATCTGAATCGGCGTTGATGATCTTTGTACAACGGGCAACCTGGGTGAACGAAAAAAAAGAAAATTTCAATTAAATTTGCGAAGAAAAATTAACTGATCCGATGTTAGTTTTTCCGAAATTAGGAAATAATTTTACATTGACGAATTTTATCATTTAATTTCCATTGTCAAATTGGATTTTCAATGGAATTAATTGATTTATTGATTTAATTGCAATTTATCATTCATGAATGAACCATCATCAAATGACAAAATTATTCTGCATAAAAAATGTTCATTGGAAATGAATGGTGCATCGAAGATGTATCAACGGCAAATTAAAATGTCGATTAAAATCTAAATGCAAAGCAAATCGTCTCTCATTCGCAAACCAAGTCGTTCCATACCTGCAACGGTTGTTCATTTGTGAGTGTTTGTTTGTCAGCGGCCAAATCCCAAAGAGCTGGTGCAGCCAAACCCGTGTCACTTTCTTTGATGCCCGTCAATTCGTTGACCTGTTTGATTGCCTTCTGAATATCTTCTTCAATTGTTTTTATACTCTTATGGTATTGTCCTTGGCCCTAAATCGAACAAGAAAAACACACAAACGTTAGATTCTCCAATTGGCCTTAGCAAAATATGTCAACAATCCAATTCCAAACTTACATAAGTTTTCAGCAGTTCAATATCGCCTTCATCGAGAGCTGCAAGTGCATAACAAAAATCCATTAATTTCAAAATCAAAATTGAACAAAGAAAGTGGAATACAAACATTTGATTTCTTCTTCTTTCTCATCAGCTTTAACTTTACGCATATCATCTCCCAAATGATCCGGCATTTTTACGTGTTTTTCACCACAAAATTCCTTAAAATTTCAATGCAAACCAATTCTATCCGCTTCGTTCACTGGACAATATTTCGTTTTGTTCTTTCGAAATGTTGCAAATTGATGAAAAGATTCGATTCAATTGCAGAACACCAAATCAAAAATTTTCAGAATATTTCGTTCGTCGAACTGTGTGTTTTATGATGATGATTACAAGCAACTTTTCCCATTGAATACTGTGCTCTCGGTGCAATGCGCTTGAAGTTGGTGCTCGTGTCAATTGGACCGCAGTGAAGTTGATCGCACGCAGTGTCGGTAAAGCAAATAAGAGATTCAAGTAGCATTTGAAAAAAAAATGCAAGTCTTGTTAATTTGCGTACTCAGAAAGAAAAAATTGCAATTTTTGTTGTCATTTTTGGATTTCTGAATATTTTTTTAACCCAATTAAAAATGTTCACCTAAGTTAAAGAACGCCATGGATTTTATAGGCTCAACGAAAAATTGCTTCCAGTTGAATTGAGCTCATTAATCAAATTTCGGAGTTGCGTACGTCAAATTGACATTTAAACTCGTCTGTGTTGGTATGTTCCATACTAGCCCGTGTCAATGTGTGCGTTTCTGATTTGAATATGCGGAAAAACACATGTTCTGTCAAAAAAAAAGAGAGATTTCTCGTATTTGTTTGTTGATTTTTTTCCCTCTTCATCGTCGAGCGCTAACATTTCATTAAAATTTCTTGCATGTATTCACTAGTTATCTGCTTTCATTCTCGTGATGTCGTTTGCCAATACATAAACGCACGATAATCGTTACGTTTTGGGTTTTTACATTGGTTCAATTTTCCCATAAGACACACGTATATCACAGAAAAAATGTGTGTTGTAACCCACTCTCTCTCTTTCTCTTCATTGCTGTGATACAATAAATATATAATTTTTGTTTTACCTTTAAGTACTCATCTAATCACTGATCAAATTAATTTAAACCGACCATTGATTATTTATTGCATTGGTGTTCATCTGATTTTATCGTGGATCGAGAAGTTTCATTCAAAAAAGAAGCAACAATTTACGGAGAATAAATATTGTTATCGAAATACATGGTGTATTGGAACAGTTGTTTCACATAGATAAACCAATTGATTGTGATCTGTTCAAAGAATTTTTATTTTGTGTGTGAGCTTAGAAACGGAAATCGTTTTTTTTTCATTATTGGTTTTTCGGCGGGCGAGGGAAAATTCTGTGTACTCAGCTGATTACTTGTTGTGTTTGATCACTTTAAATTCCGTAACATTCTCGGTAATCATTTAAACGAATCACAGATTTTTGCGGTTGAACATTGTGGAGCTGCGAAAAAAAATCCGAACAATGCGTGTCGATAAAAACAACACAATTATCTCATACAAGGATAAAGTCACCGATTCCATTCAAGTACGTATTGACACTTTGTGTCACGAGCGAAACCATAAAAGTATCGAGTGAATAGAGATAAATCAGTATAGAATTGAACATTTCACTTTGAACATTCCAATCAAAGTAAACTTTTTCTTTGGCTTTGAACTTTGGATTTATTCCGAAATTTCACCTTCGGTTGTGCGACACAACTCTAAAGGATCATTTTGTGCTCTGGTTGAATTTAGAGTTTTAGTCTTTTGAAAAAAAAAAATTCAAAAAGTCTTTTCAAAAACAATCCTTTAGAGAAAGTCAATGAAGTTACTGACATAAAACTGATCAGGTTTGAAGAAGAAAAAAAAAATTCCCACAAAAACAAGATTCTTCCACACAAAAAAACTCGACTTGTTCGACCTGATGCTCACTTTTTGTGGGTAAAAAAAAAAAAAAAAATATGTAATTGACGTATTGATCCATGCATAAGGTGAGACTGATTGCAAATTTCCGATAATTATGAAAAAAATCAGCAACAGAACAAAACCGACAACCTTGGAATGAACAAATTAGTAGAAAAATCGTGAATCAATCGACATTATCGCAAAGTCAAAGCCGAAGATAATGGATGTGGGTCGTTAATATTAGCTCGTGTCACGATTCCGTTTAAATATCATCTTTTTAAATCCTTTTTGTTTTTCCCTTCAACAGGTGCTCAACAAGACACTTGAACTGTATGAAGCGCGGGAGATTTTTCTATCGTTCAACGGTGGCAAAGATTGTACCGTATTGCTACACATGTTCGCCAGTTTGTTTACAAAACGATATCCAAACAAAACGCTACTCTGTTTGTACATCCAACCGGAGAGTCCGTTCGATGAAATCGAAGATTTTATCCGTGAATGTGAACAAACCTATCGCATTCAGATGGAAACGATACGTGGTACAGTGAAAGGGTCTCTCTTTGAAATATGCCAAAGATATCCGTACTTGAAGGCAGTCGTCATGGGATGCCGACGTACCGATCCGTATTGCAGCGATTTGAATGAGTTTCAGGTAAAATTTGCGCATTGATTGGCCATTTGACAATATTATTATTTGTTATCAAGCTATTTGAATACTAATATTACTTCTCAAACTGATTTAAGCTTCTCAAGCCTGCTATTCCAAATTCATTAAAAGTGGAAATCAATTTTTTTGAATGCAAATTTTTCAAAATCAAAGACAAAAACCAAAACAAAAATTAAAATTTTCCAATTTCACAATTTTCCCACATTTTTTCTCCTCACGATGAACAGAAGACAGATTTGAGTTGGCCGCAGCTGATGCGAGTGAATCCATTGCTCGATTGGAATTGCAAAGACATATGGGACTATTTGCATGAGAAGGATGTGCCTTATTGTTCGCTGTATAAAAAAGGGTACGTTTAAACGAAACGAGAAACAATTCGGTTTCAATTGTATTTGAAAATAATTTTTATTTCAATAAAAATGATCATATTTTATCTTAAATCATCTCTCTAGATACACATCAGTTGGCGATCGAACAAATACCGTGCCGAATCCGTATCTCAAGCGAGCGAATTCGATACCGGGAAAGGATGAATACTTGCATGCCGATCAACTTATTAACGCAGACGAATACGAACGCGCTGGCCGCCTATGACACACAGCCCACAGCAAACTTTAGTTCAAACGTTTGCTCTATAAATCAATGGTCAGATTTGTATTGGCTAGGAACAAAAATTGTACTTCTTTCCTGATAAACAAACCAATTGACCGAATTTCATCCAATTGTTACTTACCCGTTAGAATTTATATTTATTTTCATAAACAATTTAAAAAAACATTTTTTTGCTGTAAAAAAAATCAACCTTATTTTTGGCAAGGTGATGAAAAGAATGATTTTTTTCTGTTATTATTACTAGTAGTTGAACCTTCGATTTTTTTCCATTGTATATTTATTAAAAGATAGAGAGTAATAAATGAGAATGACATGGCATCAAATTGGATTGGAGTTTATGTTTTTTACACGTATGAAGTGAGAGCATGTAGTGCCACCACGTACGTGCCCGAGATATTCACTGTTGTTCAATAATGGATCTAAAGTTCTTTGAATTTTTGGGAAAGCCAATTAATGATGAGTTCAATGAGTGTTCAATTTGAACAGATACAAATTATAATTTGATTGGAATAATTATAGTTTGGAATTTCAGATCTGAAAAAGATATTTTGTGCGATCTTCTTGATTTGAAAAGGCGAATATCACTGTTGTTTGGGCTAGTAAATATGAAATCAAGGAAAATTAAGATTTTCTAAATCTTTTTGAATCCTCAATGCTTCTGAAGCATTGCTTCGGATTTAAAAGTTTGAATAGTCGAGAATCGTTCGATTTGAATATTCTTAGCATCGAGAATCATTTAAACTCAACTTTGAAGAGTCATCCATAAATTTAAATTTGACATGTGAGTGAAAGCCAACTAAGTTCGTCGAGTAAAAGACAGTTTAAGTCGTCGCACTGCTGAAAAGAACCACAAGATCAAAAAATCGTTGCTCTAACATTACATTTTATTGAATGTTTTCTTTTCTGTAATATATGTTACATACTGTTACTTACAATCGAAATCGCACTATTCCAACAGAAAAGCAAACATGTCCTTTGTATCATCACTGCAGCGGCCCAAAAGCCACCGTCTATTCAATTTTCGTACAAAATCGGACCGTTTCGCTCTCTCTCTCTCTCTCTCTCTCTCTCTCTCTCTCTCTCTCTCATTAGCCGTGCGATTAAAACAGGAAAAGAAATTAAAATAAAAAAAAAGTCTGCACAAAAGAAAGATTGGTTGAAAGGCTCTGGATTGGATGTTTGGCCGTGTGTTGTTTCACGGTGATTTTTGTGATTGATTTTGCATATCTTTTTGTTGTTGCTGTTGCTTATTGACTAAGTGATGGTTTGACGATAAGAAAGCCAGATGACCCTTTGGACATTTATTGGCGTAATGGCCTTTTGTACCGCATTTATAGCACGTAATCTCTTCGAGGGGTCGCGGTGGACCACGTGGCGGTGGCTGTTGTTGCTGTTGATGTGGATCATTGTTGTCACCATCCATATTTTGTTTGATATAACCCAACGACCGATATTTGGCTTCCTCTTGACGCATCGATGCTTCCCTTTGCTGCAACAGATGGAATACAAGTTGAGGAGAACAGAATAAAAATGAAAAATCGAGATGCGGCACTCACCTCGGGCGGCATTTTCTGGCAATATGATGCTTTGTGGCCCACTTCGCCGCAGAAATGGCAGGTTGGAGCGCGTTTTTGCTGCTGATCTTTCGTTATCTCGGGCACTGGCGGTAGTTCGAAACGTGGATGCATATATTTACATGTTGTACCGTCCGGACAGAAGCCGGCCAAATAATTGGTGCACAGCACACGCCGTATGTGACGATGGCGACAGTTTGGTCCATGCCGACAGAAACCACGATCATACCACGGGCAATCTTTGATTTTACTCTCGGGATCAATGTGCAGAAAGGGACACTCTTTGTTGTGGCACGCATTGAAACGTGAATAAAAGTAACACTCAGGCATTTTGGTCATGTCGTACTCGTGCAAAAATTCACATTGATCACCCTTTTTACACAGACCACGCAGCCAATGCTTGCATACAATCGTTCGATCGCCGCGAATGTGACGGAATGGACACGACGCTCCCTGTTGACACTCCGATCCATCGGTACTGTTGAAAAATTGACATACCGCCGCCGTCGATTCTGGATGAGGAAATGGGTAGAGAAGAAATCAAATGAAATGAGAAAATTCGGATATGAAAACAATTGAATTGTTTGCCATTTCGACGATGGCACATGAGACTTCGATGAATGAAAAACGGATCAAAAGCGATTGAAAATTTAAGTTTCGATCAAATTTTGGTGCTTTGTGCCCGATTTCGAATGGTTACCAACAAATGTCGTTTTTTGCTCAGAAAACAGAAATTCATTCATTCATTCCGATTATCGAAATCATTGAACCCAGTCTCTTTTGCCAACAAATCAAAATAGGACATCAATGTGTGATTTTACTTGACCGCTCACTTGAATCGAAAACAATGTGTTGATGTTGTTTCTTTGGCTTCTTGTAAACAAATCCAAATTTCAATTCGAGTTTAACCTCAAATTTACCGAATACAACTCAAAAACGGCCCAAACAACAATCGCGATTTGATTGAATTTCACACAATGTTTACGAACCGATTTCAAATGCCGAAGTCTGAAGGCGGAACAAAATGAAGAAATAAAACACTTACTGTCCATGCCGGCGAATGGAAGCGGCAACGATCCATACTGTTCGTTCAAATCGCGTTCTATTTTGAATTCTAAATGTTCAACATTTGCTATGATAAAATCCATTTTTGTGTCGTTTTTATGTCTGTGTCTTTAGTTTCTGTTTCGGTTTTCTAACTAATGTTTGTGTTTCTCTGTCGCTTAAATTCCGAATGACAGTTCATTTGTAGGATGGCGTTTGAGGTGAAACGAATGTGATCCGGCGCAGCGGCAAACAACTGAACCTCAGCTCACTTTCTTCCCGTACTAAAATTCATCAACAATTTGCATTATCGACGCGGCGATTTGAATCGATTGCCGCCGTTGCATTGCTGTTCTACAGTGGTGATGATTTGAATGGATTATCACATTTTGCATTTATTTAGAGGGTTTTTTTTTAAATTTTCATTTGACAAAATTAAGAAATTATATTTTTATTTGCAATTTTTTCCCTTTGAAAATTTTAGTTTCCTTTTTTTCCTCCTGATTTGCCGAAAACTTTCATTTCAAATTAATTGTTCACGTTTTAATTTCATTTTTATGGCAATAATTCATACAAACAAATCAAAGTAGCTAAAAAATGACAAAGAAACCGGTTTTATTCTTAGAATTGGTTAAGAAAAAGTTCAATTTTGATGCTAATTTTGCTTTTTTCTTAAAATTTCCTGTAGAAATTTCATTTTTTGTGAGAAAAAAAAAACGATTTTTCTTTCAAAATCTCAATGCAAATCCTTGATATCAAATCAAAGCAGAATATTTATATGGTATAATCAAGATGATCATCGTGTGTGGCCCATCATCGAATCCAATTAAATAATCAAATGTAAGCGAATGAAACGATAGCGAAAATCACATCAACTGAATTGCGAATCGCCTCAAAGTGAGTGCATTTCAGAAATTGTCAGTACTAGATTTCAATCGAGTGTATTAGATTGTTTAGTCATATGTGCGGAATAGCCAAGTACAGAGTTTTTATCATTTTATCGGAAATGGAAGCATATGGTATTTGCTAGAATTACACATTTATCCAAAGAATACACTTTGAATGGGCTGGATGGATCGAAACGGCCCGATTGAATATGTGTGATTCATTCGTTGGTCATGCGTGCATTCGTTGTGTGTTGTGTGTGTGTGTGTATGTGCATGGTTTATGTGTGCGTTGAAATTGCGCTCGAGGAAATTAAATGAGCCAATATCGAATCATCACCAATCCATATGAATAATCAAACAATAGTGCCGCTCCACAATGAAGCATCTGTGGTACAATACAAGCGAAATTTTTTTTCACACAAAATATTGATGGCAAAAATGAGTGAAACACATACACACACACACATTTAAAAATGAAGCAATTTGTGTGAACGTTCTAAACAATAAGAACAAGAGCGATAATGCTAATAAAAAGCCAATAAATTAGTGTTACATCAAACACATCATAGATCTTGGAATTGATTGGCTTTTTTTGTCCCTTTGAGACTTTGAAATAGAAAAAATTTCGCCAAATTTTCAGTGAATCGAAGTAAAACCACAAAAATTGATTCTATTCTCGAAACAAAGAAGCGGATGGCTTTTTTTGCTGTTCGCCCAGAACAAACGGGCGTGAGACAGAGAGAGAGAGAGAATGAGATGTGGCGAATGATACCGAGGGGAAAAAAATGAGCGAAGCGACCATTTAAAAATATAAATTGTCGTTGTGTACACACAGCGAGTGAGAGAGAATCGAAAGAAAATTACGCATAAATCAGCACACATATTCACCGTTCTGGTGGCAAACACACATGCAAACATGATGTTCACCAGGCGAAAGAGAGAAGTGACTGATGTACATCACAGAGAGTTAGAGAAAGACTGTGAATATACGGCGCTGTTGCCCTGTAAAGTTGACGAAGAGCCCGAACGGCGGCCAAAAAGAAAGAACCAAACTAAACTGAACTGAACTGAAAACCAGCAAAAACACACACACGAAACAAATTAAGCGAATGAGAAAAAAAATTTTGAACGCTCGAGAAATAGGGAGAGAATGATGAGAATGACAAGCGGATTAGTGGAGAAGAGCGGTAAACGACAATGGCAACGGGATAGCAAGTTCGAACATGAATCGTCAATCGAAGAGCAATGAAAAACACACAAATTTCATCGTCGTCGTCGTCTTCTTCTTTTTCGTATTCATTTGGGTTGCGGTGAGTGTGTGTGTGTGTGTGAGTTTGAATGCGCTTGTATGTGTGCGCTTTTTTTTGTGTGTTTTCTGTCTTCATTCGCCTTTCCTGTATATTCTTTTAAAACGATATAAATTCTATTACGTATACGTGACCGCTATCAAGACATGCGAAGAAGTACACGGGCAAAGCGCGCAGGAAGAAGAAAACGACACATGCACAACAGCAGCAACAATAGCAACGGCAACGACAACGACGACAACGATAGTATGGAAAAAAAGAGAAATAACACACAATTCTCGGCTCAATTGGCCCAAAGTTTTCCTCGATTTTTACGTTTCTGTCCAATGTTTGCGTTCGGTGTGTGTACGATATAATCGTTTTGCTCTCGTATCGTGTGTGTCGCCGTTGCCAAGTCTCGTTCTCGCTCTTTTGCTCGCTCTAGCTCGCAGATGAACCAAATGCGAATGAAGAACAAAAACCACACACACACACGACGTGTATATCGAGGTGCTGCTGCTGCTGAAATGAGCGCATTTCAATAAGTATGCAATTTGTATCTATGTGCGTATATCAGAGAGATATGGCGAACGATTCGAGCTGACTGCTGCTGCTGCTGCTGTTGAACATGTCTCTGTATGTGTACGATGGAGTGAGTGAGTGTTTGTTCCTGTGGCTATACGGTGGCTTGGTGCTATCTCCGTCTAACGCTCTATCTTTTTCTCACTCTCGATGCGCCTCTCATAGCACTGTGTATATGATACACACGAAACGTTCATTTTTCTTCTCTGTGTATTCGCTTCACTCTCTCTCGCTCTCTCTCTCTCTGTGTTTTAGAATAAGTGAGCGATGTTCGTATGTGAATCCAAACTACTAAAAATTCCGTCGGTAATAAGCAATCGAGTATATCGTGTTGCAGTGAAATGATCAATTTTTTTTTGTAAATTATAAGCAACCAACAACACAATACTAAGTTTTAGCAGCCATTTCTTCTTCTCTAAAACGAAAACGCTCGCTCATTTTTTTTTGGACTAAAAAGTTAGTGAAAACGAATAAAAAAAAACGAAGTGAGAAGAGAAAAAAAAAACGTAAGACGATTTGTTGTTGTCCACTGTGAAAATCTCGTCTGAAATCAAAAAAAGGGAGAGAAAAAAGTTTTTGTGCTGCGGTTAGAGTTGTCGAAATTCGAAGAGTCAAAAGAGTGTTCAAGTGCGTGTGTGTGTGTGTGTGTGTGTGAGAGAGTTTGTGTGTGCATAAATGAATCGTTGTTTTGGTTGATTTCATTCTTGTTGCTCGCACATTTTTGCTTCTCTCTTCACATCATCGGTCTGTCGCGTTCTCTCGGTCACAAGTCAAATTTCGAAGAGCCATCACACACAATTGACTCTCGTTCGCGAACAATAAACACGGAACACCACACCGAACCATCAAACCAAACCAAAAGAGTCATCTATTGATTGATTTTCTTGTTGAACATTTTTCGACGTGCGAATTATTATTTTTGGGTTCGATGTTTCGCATCATTATTATCTCAGTGTAGGTACGTGTGTGTTTTACACGTCGTAGAAAAGAAGAAAAACTGAAGGAAGGAGCCAAGCAAAAGAAAACACAACACAAAACGACAACAAATATTTATCTATTTATTAGAAATATCGATGCGGTATGCGCGCGGTATTCATAATTTTCAACGACGATCTGTGTGTTTAATTTCTTGTTGTTCGTTGAAAATAAAACGTGTGTGTACGACGACGACGACGACGATACGGCGGTAAGCAGAGACAGAGAGAAAAAGAATGAAAAAGACAGCGCAAACAACAGTAAACGAATCAACACACTGATACACAGAGGTGGCTGAAAAGAGAGTGCGAAATAAAAATTAAAGTGAGACAAAACGACGAACCACACACAGCACAGTAGAAGTAAAAATTTCGTTCGTTCGTTCAAACAACAACAAAGTCAATGCAAGAGCGCGCGCGACACACGACACCAAAAAATTAATGACAGAAAAACCGAACAGTGAACAGCAGTAAAAAAAAAATATATAGAATAAAACGCGCTTTTATTAAGCAGGAACAAAAAAAAACGAGAAGAAATAATACACAACAAGCTTCAAGCAACCGAAGAGAAGTAGAGAAAAAAAAGAGTACAACAAACACATAAAAAGGAGCACCAAGTGTGTATGTGAAAGAAAAAAAAAGTATATCTCACCGAATAACAACAAAAAAAGGAACTACGACGACGACAACGACGACGTCGAAAAAAAAAACTACTACATGAAGCGAGAATTCTTTATTCGCGCGCGCGTTCAATCTCTCATGTAAATGTGGCTATTACACATTTTAGTGTGGTGCTGCTGCTAGTTACATTTTTTTTTTCGTTCGGTTTCAATTTAAGTTCGTTTTGTGTGTTTGATTTGTAACAACAACACATCAAACAAAAAATTAAGAGAAGAAATAATATTAATATTCATCGGTCATAACTCGGCCATTCGGTGTTGTTTATGTGTGTGTAATATTTCTTTCCATTTACTCTCATCACGCTTCTGAAATGAAATTATCGAATTATTGTGCAGCAATCAGCATAATTATCGAACTAAATCAGATCAAGCAGCAACACTGGCGACGCGATACATACGATTGTTGTTGTTGTTATTAGTTTGTGTCACTGTTCACACCGAAAGAGAGAACGGAATAGTGTGTGCATATCCGATATAAAATTCGCCGAAAGAATTTGTTTGTCAGTTGTCCAACAGTGACGACAACGTGAAACAGAGCAACCAGAGAACCATATTAAACAAAAACTCAGAAAACAAAACAAAAAAACGCTTTTGGATTAAATCGGAAATAATATCAGAAACTCTGTCATCGAAACCGATATACAGAAACTAAAGGAAGCACACCGAATTCACCGAATAAAAACGTTGTGTGTTTTTCTTTTTTTTTTCTTCGCTACTCAGCCTAACATCGGGTCTTGTGTGTTGTGTCGGCTTGTGACAGTCAATACAATCGGGTCGGTCGAAACCAAACAAACAACAATTTATAGATTTATTTCATGTGTTTTGTGTGTGTACATCATCACATTTAGGACGCGCGCTCCAAATCTCAGTTTGAGAAATACGGAATTTTGTGCATTTCAATTTTTTTTTCTCGTGTGGATAGAACCCAAAAAAAAATAAATACAACACACGAAGAAACAGGTAAGTAAAGGCCAATTGCGATTCAATTTTACAGAACCGAAATTCCAAAAAAAAAAACACACAACAAATGGTTACAACACAAAAGAGATGGAAAGAAAGTTTTCGTTGTCGGAAGTAAACAATCGATGTCGACACATTCGAACAATCGCTTTTGCAGCAGTTTAGTACTGACATTTTTCTGTTTTGCGGTGTTTTTTTTTTGCTCTCGTCTTCATCTTAGTGCATAGAATAGTAAACGTTTTTTTAGTGTTGTTTTTCTCGTTTGGGGTATGTTCATCGAAAATAAGTTCGATATTGAATAAATACATTTAATAAATTCAAAAATACATCGGTAAAATAGTGTGGTTTAGTCTAAAATTTAAGTTGAATATCGCCATAAATAACAAAGCAAGATAAAAGCCTGTGTTTTAGAGTTCAAAATCAAGAGATCGGTGACAAAAAGTCGTGTCACAAAAACCGTATGTAAATCGTTGACATGTGAATTTTTCTCGATTTCGTCATCATCAGATGTTTTGTGCAACAATCATAGTTGCGGTGTTTTGCGCAAATTTATTTTTTTTTTCTAATTCTGGCAAATGAATTTGCACTATAATTCAAAGCCTACCGAATGTGTTTGACTCACTGCCTATTCTTTATTGGTCATTTTTCGGGCTGTCATCATGGCAAAAAAGCTACTAAGTTGAAATGTCATGCATATAAAAAAAATCCCATTCCAAATTTTATCGATCAATTAAAAACGTGGTGAACTACGACAAAACGAAAATGTGAACGTCGGCCACACACAAATCATAAATCCATCGACGAACAATAAACGAAATAAAGCACACAAAATTTCTGTTCTGTCGTTCGATTCATTTCCAAAATGGCTGCCGTCGGCTTCTCGGATTTTGCTGCTGTTACAATGTTGTTTCGCTGCTGTTGCTGCCATTTGTTGTTGTTGTGATGTGTGTGATTAGTGTGTTTGTTGTTCTTGCCATTACATACACTCACTCGACTCTCGGCTCTCGCTGTTGAGTGTGTGCATGTGTATGTGTGTGAGTAATTTTACGAGCTGATGATTGTCTCAATGGCGAGCATATGTATGGGTGCGTATGCACATCAGCGCACAGTCACTATACAACTACAATTTCTGCTTCGCGCTCGCTCCCTCTCTCTCTTCCTCAATCGTTCTCAGCGAAATAAAAATGCTCGAAGCAGCTTGTGTATGCGTCAATCGTAACAAATCTATTGTAAATGAAGCAGCAAAAATATCAAGAAACACAATTCAGGACCATGAAATTGTGTGTTGAGACGAAGGAAACGAGAGACTATAGCACACAAATTGAATACACATGTAGAAAACCATCCATCGTCATGTATATCCATATCAATATCCATATGGGCTACGACAGACACACAGAGCCAGCGAGCGCCGTGTGTTGTTGTTGTTGCGTTTTTGCCTGAAATCGTTTCAATTTTCGTGTGCAATTGATTCGAAGTTGAAAATGTTGTTGCAATTTTGTTGTGTTATTTTTTTCCTGCTCGCTCGATGGATGCATGCCACCTAATGCAAAGAGACCAAGACACAAGCGGTTCGCACTAACTGTCTCGCCCTCTCCCTCTCTCTCTCTCTCTCTCTCTCTTTCTTACTCTGTTTCACTCTTCATCGCTCAATTCTCAGTGTGTGCTGCCATTCGAGACACTATCTTGCACTGCTGCTGCTGCTGCTGCTGCTGCCGCTATTACGCGCGCAAATGTGTGCGTGTGCATGAGTGCACTTAAAATTTTCATTTTGATGATTGTGTCGCTTAAAACGCATGGTTGCAAGCATTTTCATCGTCGAAAAATGAATATATTCGGTTGTATATGCTGGTCGTACAGTGCCTAGTCTCTGCGACTCTATCTCTCTATCTCTCGGTTCACCTCTTCTCTCTGTTTTCACGATTAATTTTCCCTTGCCATATATTGTGTGTGCGTCCATTTTTCTCCTTCTCTCATCTCTTCGAGACTGTCTCTTCGGGAATGTCTTTTCCACATTTTGTCTTTCTCCATCATCGAAAAAAGCACATCTCCATGCAATAGAAATGTCGTAGAGAAATTTCGTCTCTTGGAAATGATTACGTCTCGCCGCATCAAAAAAAGCGATCGTGAAATCTTGTGTAGAAATCGTCTTTGAGCCATAATGAATACGAGTCAGAAATGAAGCATTGCGCTATCATGTAGGGCCGTGTGTCACATCAAATGTTCGTGGCGAGTGTATTTCATTCACTGTCTCGGTCTCCTCGCCCATTGCTGTGTTCCGGAGAGCAAAGCAGCAGCAGAAGCAATCAAACGGTGTGTGTAATTCATGAATATTAATTGCTGGTTGCGTCGTTTTTGTGTGTCTTGATAATAAAAATCCATGAAAAATTACCTTGCCGAACCGATGCCCAAACACACACACACACACACACACACACACACGCACGTACATACGTACGTACGCATGCACGCACATGTACATACAAGGCCTTAAATGCATCTCATCAGGCATTTGTTCATGCATCTGCTGTTTTTGTGTTTGTTCGGGCAACGGCGCGCGCCAGCCACACCGAATTTTATGCTCATATTCTCGTATAATATCGAAGGGAATTCCGATGCGCCGGTACATTACATTTGATGTGTATTGAAAGAAGAAGAATGAAGAAAAAAAAAATCGTGATGTGATACTTAAAATATATTTTGTTCAAAGCCTACCACCACCAACAACAAAACAACAAAATGATTCCGTAAAATGCAGCTCGTCTCAAGCGATTGCTCTAGCTCGCTCTCCATCTTGCGTCGTCGGAGCAGCAGAGAGATGACTGAAAATGAAACACAATAAAGACGTCAAACGATATTCGGAATAGGCTCGCAAGCCAGCCAAAGACAATAAGAGCAAAAGGTACAAGAGAAAGACGCAGATTTTGCACACAATCTCATGCCAATACACCCGAACACAACCTAATCAGAATGCAACTGCAAACAGTTTTTGTTATTCTGCGTTGTTTTTTTTGTTGTTGTTCGCACTCTCGTTGCATCAATACGCTGTGTACGCTGTGATGGGCTTAAGCATGATTAAAGTGCATTCGTAATGAGCTCATTCACTCACTCGATGATAGAGAAACGAAATGTCGACGACAAAAACGACGGTCCACAAACACCGATAAAAGAGTTGTTTGTTGCATCGAATTACAAACGAACATTTGACCAAACAACAACAGAAAAAAAAACAAAGCATCGAACACGCTTCACGGTATTGAATAGCAACACAAATTCCTCAGCATACACACGCATACACAACGTTCATTTATGCGTTTGATATATATTCAAAATATTTATCATCTAAATCATCGGTCCCGTCAAAATGATACGATAGCAATGGGCAGCGCGAATTGAGTTGCTTTCGAAGCGAAGCAAGATTTGTTTGTATGCTACGGACACATGCATGATTTATTCATATTTAATGAGCAGAACAATGTGCATCCGATTTACTGTGTATTGTTTCACACATTTTCCGTGTGGAGAACACGAGAGATGCGCATTTTTGTGTTGAAAAACGCGCAACAAGTTGTGTTGCTTAAGACATTTTATGTTGTATTTCATTTTGGTCTTAAACTGACGAAGAAGAAAAAAACGCATTCGCTTATCCACTCGCAATATCGATGTTGTGATCAGCAACAGCAGCAGCAGCAGCAGCAGCAGCAGTGGCGGCATTGGCGACAACGACAGCGTTATCGTTGTTGGCGGAAGGTCGACGATAGTTGTCATAAAATGTGCCCCTTACAACAACAACAAAATTGCAACAATCGATATCGAAGGTTATTTTGGTTGACTCAAAAAGAACATACACCGAAAATCATTCTCGTCGTCGAACGTATGGCGTTTTCGATGAAAACATAAGAAATTCGAAGAGAATAACAGCGTACACGAAAAAAAAAAAACAATAGCTCTAGTATTAAAAATAAACGAAACAAGTTCGTCAATGTGACGATGTTTCCAGTCTAATCGATTGGGTGTGATTGTGTGCGTTTGTGTGTGTGTGCTTAAGCACAATTTGTAGACCCGTTACCTTTTTTCTCTCTCCCTCTCTCTCTTCTTAGTCTGTTGTTTCTATGGCATTGTGTAAATGCAACTGTGTGCAGTACCGCGGGGAGAGACAGTTGTGTAGTTCGAACTCACACACAGCACAAAAATGCGCACAGGTAAAAAATGTATGCGCACCGCTTTAGTTCACGATTCTATCAGATGTCTTATTAATTTATAGTCGCACTAATCGTAGCTAGGGCTCAATAAATAACAACCACAAACAACGATGGCAACGGTTTACCATATGAACATACACACGATGAATGGTAAAATGGCCCGAAGCCGCAACAGCACCGATAAATGGCGACTAGAAGGACAGCTATCGAAAATATTCACATTCAAACGAACGAACGAAAAAAAAAAATGCGTAGAAAACAAGCGAAAAAATTCAATAAAAACGCGCGCGTTTCAATCGTGTATGACGGCAAAGTGAGTGAGTATGTGCGTGTTGGAAATGCAATGTGTGGCAATGGCATGTGTATATGCGACAGAACACACCGCACATATCCCGACATCAACGAAACGGCAGATGTATTTGCTCGTTCACGCTTTTCACACACAACACCAATGTGCCTCATTCTCGACGAACCAACACACGGAATCGAAGACACGAAGAGAGACAGAGAAGAAAGGGAAAGAATGAGAGAAGGAACGAGAGAAAGAGAGACAGAGTGACAGAGAAAGAGAAGAAAGAGAAGGGCGCGCAGGAAGAATAGACAAAACGATGAGATGTGGATATTGATGACAATAAACACTGACACAAATACACACGTTCCAATTAAAATTTACGCAGAATAATGCAAGAAGGAAATCGAATAGTCGCATGTATTTTATTTTATTTTATCGTCGTCGTCGTCGTCTTCTTCTTCTTCCACGAAGAACTCATTTCAACTAGGAAGTTTGGTGTAGTGTTG